TCTTCGATTGCCGTGTTGCCAGCATGGTTGTCCTGATAGTGTAGTGGTCATCACACCTGACTAGTAACAGGCGGACGTGGGTTCAAATCCCGCTCAGGGCAAATTTTCTTTTCAAACGTTTATTCTATTAGTATGATTATTTGGGGTGTACAGGGTCAGGGTTTCCCTCGTATACAGAATTTATATATATATATATATTTAGTATAATTTCAGAACTGAGCATAGAGTTTCTAGCAATCTGATTGGTCGAGCGGTTCCTTATATGGCGCTATATAAACCGCTCCACGCGGTCTACATAAAACGTTAAAATGAAATGTTCATAAATGTTACTAAAATGTTCTGATTTTAGAAATTTCTCTGTTGTTCAGCCCTTAAATTATATTAAAACAATTATTCGCCTCAGGTTCGGTGAATATTGTCGAATAAAGCCCTCGACCTCGTCTCGGGGATTATTCGACGATATTCACCTCCTCTTCGGCGAATAATTGTTAAATATAGGGATTAAACTTGGTGTCCGTGAAACAGTGCTCGATACAAATAGTAGAGCGGGTATAATGTGTGGCAGGCGAAAAAAAAAACAACTACATATACATCCCTACAGACCTGTTTCGTGGTTGCCCACTCATCAGGGGATTTTAATGGCAGAACAATGCGATACCATCGCCTATATACTATACTAATTGCTAATTGACATGGTTTATGCAGTGTGAAAAGTGTCAAGTCAGCTTTTACGTAGGAGGGCTTTGTTTCTGTGTCGGCAAGAAGAGACAAGTTACGCTCGTTGAGTGTTCAACACTCAACAAGCGTAACAAACTCTTCTTTTTTTTGAGCAGTAACACCAACATCGGCCTCTACAGAGACGACGGCCTAGCCTTACTAAAGAACGCACCAGGCCCAGAGGCGGACCGCTTTAGGAAAACAACATCAGCCCATTTCAAACAATACGGCCTTTTAATCTCCATAAACACCAACTTAAAAACAGTCAACTACCTCGACGTCTCACTAAATCTAACGAAAGGAACATACTGCCCTTACAGAAAATCCAACAACGGTCCCCTCTTCCACAGTCTATTAACCGGCGTATCTGTGACCTCTCCTCTAACGAAGATGTATTCAACAAGGCCAAGCCCACATATGAAGACGCCCTGAAATCAAGCGGATATAACATCCATCTCTCCTACTTCAAGCCACCACACCTTCACCCCCTAGTTCCCGTGACTGCTCAAAAAAAAGAAGACAGATAATCTGGTTCAACCCCCCCTTCAGCAAAAACGTCCAAACTAACGTCGGTAAAACTTTCCTTACACTTGTTCAGAAGCACTTCCCCACCTCTCACAAATACCACAAAATCTTTAACAAAAACACCATCAAAGTCAGCTACAGTTGTATGGATAACATGGATTCTATTATCAGGAGGCACAATCAGAAAATCCTGAACCCCTCCTCGACCAGCCAAGACTGCAAGTGCAACTGCAGAGTAAAACAAGGCTGTCCCTTACAGAACAACTGCCTAGCTTCCTCCTTAATTTACAAGGCTAAAGTCACCACAAACAAAGACCAAACGGGCAAAAACTACGTCGGCCTAACAGAAAATTCTTTAAACAAAGATACACGCAGCATTCCCTCTCATTCCGAAACAAAGCCTACGCTAACAGCACCGAGCTATCCAAATACATTTGGGAACTTAAGAGCACCAACACTCCCTACTCCATTCATTGGTCGACAATCCACAAAGCCGCATCTTACAAAGGAAATTCAAGAACAAGCAACCTCTGCCTTGCCGCCTATTTAATAACAAATTTAATTCAAACATTTTAAAAGAAGTTCGCTCCTGCGACCAAAATTTGAATTTGAATAGTATAATGCAGTCGGAATTTGACACGAATCCAATTTTTTCCTAGACCAACCAAAAACGCTATCTTGAACTTTTATTTCCAGTTTTTCTTGTTTGAAAATGATTCAAGTCTTAACTTTATGCAAATGATATGGACACTTGGTTTGCACCTTTTCAAAGATATTTGATGCAGGTAAAGAAGGATTGTTTGTCGCCTTGTTAAAAAAAAAATGACAACACAGATATCTTCCCATTCTCTTCTTATTGCTTTTTCATACCTGAGGCACTTCATAGGTTGCAGAAAAAAAAACTTATAATACCTTTATACACTATAATCACTAAACGTATTTACAAAAAAGATGACAAAATGCTTCAAAATCGATGAAAAATACGTCAAAATGTTTAGTAAAAATCCAAGAAAAACTCATGTACACACTTCGTTTAATGACTAATTCAAGATTATTTACAAAGAATATAATTGATAAAATTTGTATAAGAAAATTCCATAAAAATTCATTATCATGTATAAAACAAAAGGCATTCAGCTTGAAAATTGCCCTAAAACATTAAAAAAAAATTAATTAAAAAGACTCATTTTTTGCACACAAAAGACAACTATTCTGACGCATCATCAATGAGTAAACGCTGGTGAGGAAGTCTTAAAGTGAATATAATTACAGAAGCAATGTTTCATTGATCGAGGCTGGGTATGTACTTTTCAGACGAAATACCAACAACAAATTTCACTGGAGGTGGAACACAAACGAAAACATTTGAAGAACTGCTATACTCCTCTTCTTCGGTTGGAACGCTTCAACAAGAACCAATTCCTTTCTCAGCAGTCGCACGTTTTCTCAATTTTATACGATAAAGCAACATTAAGCAGTAGTGCTGTCTCCTCATCCGTCCAAGTGAAATATTCGTTATCCGTGCTACTATCTGAATTGGCTTTTCTCTTCAGTTCTAGAC